TTTTAATAAATAAATAAATAAATAATTGTAAAAAATATTATTTTGGTGTATGTACCGTATTTATATTCATATGCATGTAGTAAAAAACGGTTACTTCAATATTACATGCAGACACTCAATATATAATCAAAATAATATAAAATCAAAATATCGATAAGTGAACATGTCCCCGCACTACGGTGGCGGGCGGGCGGCGTCTTTGATGAGGCGGCTAAGTGAATTTCACTTTGATCTCAGCGACGGGGAAATTGCCCAGTTTCCGAGACCGACTTGAAACTAGGAGTGTAATGAGTTTGAGCGTACATGAATTTTAGTGACCTACATTATATACATCTTATATATAAAATTCTCGTGTCACAGTTTTCGTTCCCATACTCCTCCGAAACGGCTTGACCGATTCTCATGAAATTTTGTGAGCGTATTGAGTAGGTCTGAGAATCGGCCAACATCTATTTTTCATCCCCCTAAATGTTAGGGGTAGTCCAGCCCTAAATTTTTTTTTTTATTTAAGGCAAAACGTTTGCTGGGACAGCTAGTACACTATATTACTACATGCAATAACTAGTTGTGCCCGCGACTTCGTCCGCGCGTAATAAACGGAACCTCGAACGACGAATAACGAATTTCCAATCAAACTCTCATCCCCTATTTTAATTTACCCCCTTAAGGGCAAAATTTTTACAAACCTTGAATGTCATATTTCTTTATATATAATCGGTTTTAATGGGTTGAAAGGTTGTATGGAAGTATCGTCACTTTTAAAGCTAGAAGCTTATTTTATAGGCTGTTGATTAAATATAAACAGATATCACCTTCAAAGTTCGTAACATTTACCCTTAAGGGGGTAAAATAAAATAGGGGATGAGAGTTTGTATGAAGTTTCGTCATTTTTGAAGCTAGAATGATGAAACTTTTTTCTTTGTTTGGCTAGTCACTATTCTATCCGGACAAAGTCGCGGGCATAGCTAGTAATAAATAAATAATAAATAACCCTGGACAATTAACACAGCTCCATCTAGTCCCACGGTAAGCAGAGCTTGTGTTATGGGTACTACAAGTGATATAAATACATAGATACTTTTTTTCAAACACACACATAATATTAGACAACTGATATAAATACATAGATATATTTTTTTTCTAAATAGTGCATAAATAATATAATAGAAAAAATTCCAGACGGATACAAACAGTCATAGTCATGAATACAAATGTTTATGCCGTGCGAGGAATCGAACCAGCAATTATCGAAATTAAGGCAATGTCATATGCCGCTAGATCACCGAGGTCGTCGTGTATAAAAAACATCTTTGTAGAAATAGAAATAGAAATAATCTTTATTCAAATAAACTCAATACAAGCACTTTTGAATCATGAGAATTTCCAGATAAGAAAGTCATATTTTGATTCTACCACTCATTCGGAACGCAGACTCTTCACAAGAAGAACGAGCAAGAAACTTGTGTGTTTTTGTAAAATATTATTCTTATAATTAATGTTTGGGAAACTACTCTGCTACCAAAATGTTAGGGAAACGTCAGTCACGTACCTGTATGGTTCTGCGGATTTCTTGGGCTTCAGGGTCTCGAAGATATCTTCGCTAGCTTTCCAGTTTCACAGTAGGTTTCACGGTTCTAATTTATTTTAATTCACAACACAATGCGCGCGCGCGTCAAGGCCGCTGTACGGTCCGTTTGTTACTAGTTAGGGAGGGGAAGGGAACGCGCGGGAACAGAAAACTAACGGACTCTAACATAATATAATATCTGTGCTTACGATGATACAGGGTAGATTTTGAACAATTAATAAGATTTTCTTCAAGAATTGGTTAACAATACCTTCAACCCTAGTTTTACCTACAGCTACAAAATTCTTGTTAAATTCTCTTAGATCTTTTCTGACTGTTACTTTTGGAAACTTTACAACAATTTCACCCGCAAGTGAACTATGATCAACTTCAAGATGTTGAAATTTTAACTTATTTCAAACAATTCCCTTCTTGGAAATGGAATTATAATCATCTTACTTATATTATAAATATGAAAGTTTGTGAGTATGGGTGGACGGATGTTTGTTACTCTTACATGTAACTACTGCACAGATTTTTATAATAATAATAATCTCAGGACAATTCACACAGCGCCATCTAGACCCAAGTTAAGCTAGCTAAAGCTTGTGTTATGGGTACTAGATAACTGATACAACTACATAGATTTTTTTCGTAAATACATACATATTATACATAGAAAACACCCAGACCGATACAAACAATCATACTCATGAATACAAATGTTTGGAGGAATCGAACCCGCGACCACCGGTCGTAAAGCGGTGTGCTAGACCGCTAGACCACCGAGGTCGTCGTTTATGTAACTATAGTAATATAGCTTATACATTAGAATAACACACAGGCTATACATTTAATGCGGACGAAACCGGAGAAATAGCTAGTAAATATATATAGGTACTGATTATAAAGGCAGTCAGGATATCAAAGGAGTGGTAGAATAAAGAAAATATGACTATTCAAAAGTGCTTATATTAGGTTTATTTGAATAAAGACTATATTTAAACAAAATCAAGAATGTAAAATAATAATATAATAATAATAATAATCTCAGGACAATTCACACAGCGCCATCTAGACCCAAGTTAAGCTAGCTAAAGCTTGTGTTATGGGTACTAGACAACTGATACATATACATAGATATTTCTTTTTTTTTTGTAAATACATACATATTATACATAGAAAACACCCAGACCGATACAAACAATCATACTCATGGATATAAATGTTTGTGCCGTGCGAGGAATCGAACCCGCGACCATCGGTCGTAAAGCGGTGTGCTTGACCGCTAGACCACCGAGGTCGTCAATGTATAATTTATTCATGTAAAATTATTATAACCGCGTATGATCGTTAAGTTTTGTCTTTTAATATTTTTTCCCTAACGTTATACCTAGATATCTAGTTATATATATATCTAGTTCAGTATACATATTCTAGAAGTAGAAATAGAAATAATCTTTATTCAAATAAACTTAATATAAGCACTTTTGAATAGTCAAGTTTTTTTTTTATTCTACCGCTTATTCGGAATGCAGATCATCACAAGAAAAGTAAGAAACGTGTGTGTTGCTCTTTTAAATAAATATTGATTTACTTAAATTCAATTCAATTGAGAAGAACTGGCAAGAAACTCAACTGAATGAATTTTTTTAAAAGCCAGTTTATTTACCATGTATATATATAGGTGTCTATGTCTAACATTAAATGAAAATCCAGTACATGAACAACTATTGCCATGCATGTTTGTCGTTTAGTGAGTTAGGCTTTGCTCAATAAATATGATTGAACAGATTTACATTTTATAAACTGTGCCTGCGGTTTCATTCGCATGTTTATACCGTATGTGTTATTCTGATATATAAGCTATATAACTGTAAAGTTTCATCAAAATCCGTTAAGTAGTTTTTGCATGTTTGTTACTCAAACATCCATCCAACCATAGAAATAGAAATAGAAATAGAAATAATCTTTATTCAAATAAACTCATGCACAATATTCAAACACAAGCACTTTTGAATAGTCATATTTTGATTCTACCACTCGGAATGCAGATTCATCACAAGAAGAATGAGCAAGAAACTTGTGTGTTGCTCTTTTTAATAGATGTTTTTTTTATATAAATAATTACAGTGTAACAAGTAAGAGGCATGCGATAATCAACATAGAAATCGCTACGCACTCATTATTAGTGTAGTCAAATAATATTGTCAGTGCTATGTATTTAAAATTTTCTCGACGCACAACTGTAATTCACTTTTAAAGTTACCACAAAATTAACAAGTATTACAAAATAAGTAATAATAAAGGAATGTTATAATAATTTAAATTGAATTAAGCCATAACATGTACAAGATTGATGTAAATAAAAGTTTATTACGAACTTTGACAGTTGACCGGTAAGAAATATTTATGTGTCGATTTTTGTACACAAATACTATATAAAAATGAACACAAACAACAATCGATACTTTTTATAGCTTAAACTCACTAATTATATCAATTACACTAAAAAAATTGAGTAATAAATTAGATAAAAGTAATTAGCTGACAAAGACAGTTATCGGTAATGTTGCCAGTCGAGGAAAAAAAGATACATCCATCTGTTCATCCATAGTCACAAACTTTCACGTTTGTAATATTAGCATGATCATACATTCATAATTTAAGAGCGACGCTCTTGTCGGTGGAGCTCTTGCTATTTTCCTTGGTCTTCCCTTCTCCCTATTGCTTTCAATAATATATTTTATAAATTCATCATTCCATACCAAGTGTGTTAAAAAGATAATTATTTTCTTTCTTTCTTTCTTTTATATCTGTTTCTATTACGTCTAGACTCTATATTCTTTGATTCATCACAAAGAAGCTACAGAAATAGGTCGGCGCTTGTGTCGAGTCGGAAAAATCAAAGGGGGCATCTAATGAATTAGAGATGAGCCACTCATCTGATTGGGCGGCCATCTTGGGTGAAGTGTATAGAGGCAGGTAAAGCCTTGTTGTTTGTCTAAATAGATGTATAAAGGGTGTATGTAGGTATTATTAAATGGTTCAAGTCTTTTAAAATAATATGGCATATACATCGATGTTGACGGGACGTGTATTTGAATAAATTTAAATTAAATTAATTATAAATTACAAAGCGCCTAAAATATATTCTTAGCAATAATTATAAGTATTGCATAATGTTGCTAATAGATCGTTTCTGGCGTAAACAGTGTATAACAAGTGATACGTTATCATTGTATTTTTATTTATTTATTTAAACTTTAGGGGTAGTTCTAGTATTACGTAAGCAGATTTATTACAATTATTTAACCCCCATCCCCCTTGTTAGCAAAAAGATTAGTAGGATAATTCAAATAATTCATATTTTACATAAAGTTGTATTACCAACAAATTACCAGGCAAAGATAACTGCACAGAGGTTACTTACCGACAGTGGTGAGGAGCATGTTGTCAAGGAGTAGAGCTATGGCCACGATGATCAGCACCAGCTTCCTGGACTCGCGGCAGGCGTCGATCTTCGCGCGCCAGCTGCCCCCGAAGCCATCAGACGCGACTCCCATGGTGGATAGGTAAGGATACTAAACCTGGATGGAAAGAATATTTGTTATTTTTATTTAATTGACGGCCTCACGGTGTTCTAGTGGTGTAGCACACCGACTTACTTACGATGGTCGCGGGTTCGATTCCTCGCACGGCAGAAAAAATCTATGTATTTGTATCCATTATCTAATGCCCATAACACATGCTTTAGCTAGCTTAACTTGGGACTAGATGGCGCTGTGTTAATCGTCCAGGGTTATTTATTTATTTAATTCATAATTGTAATGGCCCATATCATAAATACCTTTACAGACTAACATACATATATACGAAAGATAATAAATCTATACATATAAATAAAATGAGTGTCTGTTTGTAATATTGAAATAAATGTTTTTTACTACATGCATATGAATATAAATACGGTATATACACAGAAATAACATTTTTTACAATTTTTATCTGCCTGTCTGTTTGTTCCGGCTACTCCCCGAAATGGGTGAACCGATTTCGACGGGGCTTTTTTTGGCAGGTACCTGATGTAATAAGGAGTAACTTAAGCTACTTTTATTTTAGAAAAATAAAGTTCAATTTCACGCAGACGAAGTCGGACCACTGAAGTCGAAACCACTGGACGGATCGGGCTGAAATTTGGCATGCAGGTAGATGTTATGACGTAGGCATCCGCTAAGAAGGGATTTTGATTAATTCTACCCCCAAGGGGATAAAATAGGGGATGAAAGTTTGTATGAAACTTTGTCAATTTTAAACCGATCGTCTGAGACTTTGCATGCATAAAGCTACTATGACGTAGGCATCCCCTAAGAAAGGATTTTGATTAATTCTACCCCCAAAGGGATAAAATAGGGGATGAAAGTTTGTATGAAACTTTGTCAATTTTAAACCGATCGGGCTGAGACTTTGCATACATAAAGCTACTATGACGTAGGCATCCCCTAAGAAAGGATTTTGATAAATTACACCCCTAAGGGGATAAATTAACGCGAGCGAAGCCGCTGGCAAAAACTGGTTTATTAGATAAATTGCAGGATAACAGCCGTAAATAGGTGTAGATTAGGTAATCGTGCGAGATACTTCCTCTACGCGTGCTGTTAATCTGTGGACCAACTAGATACACCTATTATACAATTTTTCAGGTACTTATCAGATTATATGTAATCTATACATATGAATAAAATTGGAGTGTCTGTTTGTAATATTGAAATAACCGTTTTTTACTACATGCATATGAATATAAATACGGTACATACACCAAAATAACATTTTTTACAATTTTTTCTGTCTGTCTGCCTGTTTCTTCCGGCTAATGTTTGAAATGGCTGGACCGATTTTGACGGGACTTTTTTGGGCAGGTAGCTCCTTATTACATAGGAGTAACTTAGGCTACTTTTATTTTAGAAAAATAAAGTTAAATTCCACGCGGACGAAGTCGCGGGAACAGCTAGTTTAAAGTATATTTGTAATTTTTACACGCCGGAAACGGCTGGGCGTGTTTAAAACAATTATAACGTGATATATTCCTAGTGAATTTGTCACGATGGGCTAACTGACCTGACCACATATTCTTCCTATCATCCTCCACTGGTGCCCCGCCAGCGTATACCATTGTTATTGATGAATAGAATAGAATAGAAAATCATTTATTCAAATAAACTTACATTGAAGCACTTTTGAATAGTCATTACATTTTTTAATCTACCGCTCGTTCGGAAAGCTGTCTCATCACAAGAAGAACGAAACTTGAAGCAAGAAAAAAGGAAGAAACTTGAAAAGATGATAATGGAATGCTGCACCGCTCAATGATAATGGAATGCTGCACCGCTCAATGCACCCGCTTGAGCGGTGCAGCATTCCATTACCATCAATTAAAATTACATAAATAACACCTATGTCATACAATATTCAAAAATTCAAAATTTCGAAATATCTTTATTCATATAGGTCCACCACAGACACTTATGGAAGTCAAATAAATCTACAGTATGACAAATAGTGTAATAATTACACTACCTATTGGATACCCTAATATGACAGCTAGGGGGAAAGGAGATTGTTAGTAATGGGAGCCCCCATTGCTAGCAATGTACCATGTTAGGTCGACCTCCACGCGGTTCCTCCTGGAAGCCATTGTTATAAGTGAATTTGTCACGATGGGCTAACTGACCTAACCTCATATTCATCTTATCATCCTCCACTGGTACCCCGCCAGCGTAAACCGTTAGCGCAGGCGGGAGCACCATTTCATTATCATCCACAAAAAAAAATGCATCTAGTATAGTATCAGCTAATACATCCAGTAACAATTCTTAAGAATAGAATAGATTAGAATAGAAAATAATTTATTCAAATAAACTTAATTTAAGCACTTTTGAATAGACACAACAATTTTTTTTTATCTACCATTTGTTCGGAAAGCTGTCTCATCACAAGACAAGAATAAACGAGCAAGAAACTTGTGTGTTGCTCTATTAAATAATCATTGTAAGTTCACATTTTACAAGTCGAGACATGTGTATACAAACTACCAACCAGCACTAATTTATTAGGGTCAAATATAAATATACAATAACATTAAATCAGTCGTGGTGATAAGAGCAGACCAGTCCCTACAAGCAGCACTCGTTCACGAGTATGACGGATTATTTTTCCTTTAAAGTTTTAAATTTACACAGAAGTAAGAAGTAAGTAGTGTATAATTTTAAAAGTATTTAGATAATGATTAAGACGGCGTGGTTAATTTAATTGACTTATATAAAAGGAGGCAATTCTAGCTTCCAATAATGAAAAATGTCATTTTTATATTTAATCACGATATATTAGCTGCTTGTAGGGACTGGTCTGCTCTAATCACTATGACTGATTTCCTCTTATTAATTGTTTAACCAGTTGGTTATATATTCAATATTATTTCTATTTGAGTATTTAATAGAATTAGTGCTAATTGGTGGTTTGTATTCACACACTTAAACTTAAAAATGTAAAGTAATAATGAAATTATTTAAAAGAGCAACACGCAAGTTTCTTGCTCGTTCTTCTTGTGATGAGACAGCTTTCCGAACGAGCGGTAGATTAAAAAAAATGTAATGACTATTCAAAAGTGCTTCAATGTAAGTTTATTTGAATAAATGATTTTCTATTCTATTCTATTCTATTCTATTACTTTAAAAAGATTATTGAATGTAAAAGAATGATAAAATGATTGTATTAATTCTTCTGTGCCATCCACAATAAAAACTGGCTGAATGCCGTTGAAATATCGCCTCAATTAAAACTAAAAAATGACAGCTGACAATGGTCTATGGAATATGAAAATGGCGGGAAATGAGCGCGGACGCTAATGATACGCATCCAGCGCTGGCTGAGTGGTGCCTTCGCCTTGGAAACGCAAATTAAAATAGTTGCATTTTTATCTGTCATTCTATTTTCTTTTTCTGTTGACCCTTTAACGGAAAGGCAAAGGGAACTGCGGTCATACAGCCTAATGTCCTTAATCTGCTATTTAACATAAATTCTATACATATAAATAAAATCGGAGTGTCTGTTTGTACTATTGAAATAACTGTTTTTACTACATGCATATCAATATAAATTCGGTCATACACCAAAATAACATTTTTTACAATTTTTCTCTTTCTGTCTGTTTGTTCCGGATAATCTCTGAAATGGATTTTGGACGGGACTTATTTTGGCAGGTAGCTGATGTAATAAGGAGTAACTTAGGCTATTTTTATTTTAGAAAAATAAAGTTAAATTCCATGCGGACGAAGCCGCGGGTACAGCTAGTATACAAATAAATAAAATTAAAGTGTCTGCTTGTTAACAGTTTCACTAAATGCATATGAAACTATATACAGTGCTTACGTCATTAAAAAAAAACTACTATTGCTAATCTCTGAAACGACTAGACCGATTTTGATGGGACTTTCACTCGCTGCTATCTAATTTTATATAGCGTAACTTAGGCTACTTTAAAATTAGAAATTTAATTTATTGAAATAAAAAAATATATATTTCACGCAGATAAAGTCACGGGTAAATAGTTAGTTTAAATACAATATTAGTATGCTGATGGTTTTTCACTCGCTGCTATCTAATTTTATATAGCGTAACTTAGGCTACTTTAAAATTAGAAATTTAATTTATTGAAATAAAAAAAAATATATATTTCACGCAGATAAAGTCACGGGTAAATAGTTAGTTTAAATACAATATTAGTATGCTGATGGTTTTTCACTCGCTGCTATCTAATTTTATATAGCGTAACTTAGGCTACTTTAAAATTAGAAATTTAATTTATTGAAATAAAAAAAAATATATATTTCACGCAGATAAAGTCACGGGTAAATAGTTAGTTTAAATACAATATTAGTATAAATTAATATAGATTTAAGTGCGTTTTAGTTTATATATGAATAAATGTTATAAATAAGTTGTAATCTACAAGATTTTTATTAGACGTCTGTATAAAGATTCATCTCATCTCATTACAGCATCCCGCACTCCCGTATCCGTAACAATCTCTATGGATTAACTACTTACCTTAATTCCCGGAGCGAGAATAAAACGTTTGCGACAGATAAAACGGAAAATCAAATGGAAAATCTCTGTTGATTTCTCAAGAGGCCTAATGGACTTAGTCTGGTATAGAATAATATAGATAGACTAACTTTTGCCCGCGGCTTCGTTCGCGTTAATTTATCCCCTTAGGGGTGGAATTTGTCAAAATCCTTTCTCAGGGAATCTCTACGTCATAGTAGCTTTATGCATGCAAAGTCTCAGCGCGATCGGTTTAAAATTGACAAAGTTTCATACAAACTTTCATCCCCTATTTTATCCCCTTGGGGGTAGAATTAATCAAAATTCTTTCTTAGCGGATGCCTACGTCATAACATCTACCTGCATGCCAAATTTCAGCCCGATCCGTCCAGTGGTTTGGGCTGCGCGTTGATAGATCACTATGTCAGTTACCTTTGAGTTATATATATATATATATATATATATATATAGAGAAATAAAATACTAG